GGGACTTCAGCCTGGGGGGAACGTAGGAACGGGGGGAGGATAGCGGATCGGGGGGAAAGAAAAAGATATGAAGAAGAAGAAGAAGGAGAAGAAGAAGAAGAAGAAGAAGAAGAAGAAGAAGAAGAAGAAGAAGAAGAAGAAAAAATCCGTTGCTTACCTGGCAGTGACGACGATGGGGATCTAGGCAGCGACGAAGATCGTGGCAACGGCGATGGTCACGGCAGCAGCAAGATCACGGCGGCGACGAAGGTCTCGGCAACGACGAGGATTGCGGCGGCGTCGAAGGTCACGGCGGGGATGGGGGAGCGAACTGCTCCGATACCAGTGTAACGGGCGCAGAGGCAGAGGACGAGGAAGGAGCAGAGGGAGAGAGAGAGTGAGAGCACATACACACACTCACTCACTCACGCGACTGGACTCGACCGGACGCAGACACAGTGGCAAGGCACAAAGTCGAAGTCTTGGATTCCGAATGCCGAAACAGCAAGTCACACTGAGTACGAGTACAGCGGCAGAAAACTGGTACGAGACTGGTCCCCGTACCGTACGGGGAGCCGGTATACGTACCGGTGACACGTACGGTACCAGGGGCATTTCTGCAAAGGCCCCAAGGGCAGAACTGAAAAATGCGGTATTTGAAAGTGGTGCCCGGATTGCAGCATGGCGCCAGTTGTCGAAAATCCTACGGTACCGAAGAAGGGGTTTGGAAAAAGGGTGCCAGGCCGAAAATGGGATGCAGCCGAAACAGCAAAAAGATAGACCAGGGATCGAGCCCTGGCGGAGTCCGTAACAAAAATGATGAAGATGGGGAGGAGGAAGAGGATGATTTGGACGATCCCGACTTCAAGCTGCGTCCACCCGGTCCCAATGATGACTCCGAGCCTGAGATGAGCGACCTCACAAGGTCTTCTCCGCCCATTGACACAACTCTAGATGAGAGCAATGTTTGTTCCGTCTTGCCAGCATTATGCCCTTCGAGGACGGACATGCTTGTCGATGATGAGGTTGATCGGGCTGCAGCAAGGTCCCTTGCTGAGAGGGATCACGCTATTGTGAAGGAGTGGATCGACCGCATGTATGTACCGCATAAGGCAGAAGACAAGCGCCAGATGAGCGCAATCGTACCACAGCTCCGATACCAAATTGCAAGGAAGATGAGCATTAGTGAACTTCAGCAATCATACAGCATCATACATATGAGTCCAGAGAGTCTTGACCTCGAACCACAGCAGAATTGCATCACGAGATACACCAAATAAGAACACACCAAGAGTTTTCCTCCCCCTTCAAGACTCGACAGGGCAACATCAGTGACAAGAGCAGGAGGAGCAACACCTGCAACACTGACAGCAGCAGGTGCAGCAGCGGCAGACACACCTGTAGAAGTCCCAGCAGAAGCAGGAGTGGAAGCAGCAGCGCCAGATGCTCCCGTAGAAGTGTCAGCAGCAGCAGGATCAGCAGCACCGTCTGTAACAGTGGCAGCCGTGGTGGCAGCAGCAGTGCCAGATGCACCCGTGGAAGTGCCAGCAGCAGCAGGATCAGCAGCACCGACTGAAGCAGCGGCACTGGCAACTGCAGTGGCAGGTGTGGCAGCTGCAGTGACAGGTATGGCAGCTACAACAAGAGCAGCCGTAGCAGTGGCTGGGCCACCCGTTGTGGCAGATGCAACAGGGTCAGCTACACCAACTTCAACAATAGGCGCTGAAGCGCAAGCTGAAGGCAAACAGCTGAAAAAGGATCAGCAGCAGATGCCACAGCAGCACCTGCAGGAGTATGGTTTTCAGCACAAGCAGCAGCAAGAGCAGGAGCAGGAGAAACAGCTTGAGGAACAGCAGATCCCACAGCAGCAAGAGCAGAAGCAGCACCTGGAGCAGGAGAAGCAGCAACAGCAGCCGGAAAAGCATGAAATGAAACATCTGCAGCTGCAATAGCGGCAAGACAGTGAGCAGCCGCAACATGCCGAGACATCTGCAGCACCGGCACAACACTTGGTCCAGTGCCCTCCTCTCCCGCGCCTGGATGACAACCTCATTCGCGACAACCTGGATATCAGTAGGGTGGGCAGAAAAAGGAAGCCCATCCAGCTCAAACGATTGCTGCCCCGGTAGCCAAACGGGGGCGTGGCAGGCCGCTCAAAGGAGAACAAAGACCTGCGGCTCCACCAAATCCACCGCCTGCACCTCCGTCAAGACCGCGCCGCAGACAATGCAAGGGAAAGACATTCAGAGGACACTGCGCGGTAATCCAGGATGGTAGTACATCAAAGGAAGATAGCAGTGAAAGCAAGGCATGGAGCGAGTCGGACCCGGAGTGGAAGTAAAGTGTGGTGGGCTGCTGCAAGGAAGTACACGCATCATCTGAGAGTGGTGATAGTCTAATGCAGTCTTCGCTGATCATCTCTCTCTCTCTCTCTCTCTCTCTCTCTCTCTCTCTCTCTCTCTCTCTCTCTCTCTCTCTCTCTCTCTCTCTCTCTCTCACTCTTTCTCTCTCTTTCTCTCTCTCTCTCTCTCCCTCTCTCTCTCTCTCTCTCTCTCTCTGTAGATTCGGTGTTAATTCGCCTTCTTCTTCTTTTTCGACTTCTTTCTGCTGGTGGTTCTGCTTCAAATAAATGTGGACTGAGTATTCGAGTCATTCGGGAAGATGTGTCCGTATGTTTTCCATATGCTGCCTCTACACCATGAAGTCTTGCTGACTTCCGCAGTTTATGATGTGTATCATTAGTGCAGGGCAGGTTTCATGGTCGTTTTTCGTTTCTTTCGGTCAGTCCCCCAGGTGGATTATCTCTTGTCGGTGCCTTGTGTGGCAAGAGATAATCCTTGCTGTTGGATGGTGTTCTGTTGGATGTTGTTGGAAACCTTGCTCTTGTCATTGGACAGTGCGAATCCTGTTGGAAACCTTCCCATTGGATGTTATTTTGGTTGTTGTTCATCAGCATTCGTGTTCGTCTTTTTTTTCTGTGCTCCTAGTCTTGTTTTATTTCTGTTACAATCCTCGCTTCCCGAAGAAAGACAATGCCATACAATTGCAACTGAGTGGAAGAAGAAGAGCATGTGCACCTGCGAAGACCAATGCCAAATCCCCCTTCTCTGGCCACCACCCCCAACCTCCGACAGGACAAACTGCTCCTGCCCCCCGCGGCCCCGCTCCTGCCCCCCTCCACCCGGTACTCGAAGAGGAAATTATCTGCGAATAGAGAAAGATCAAAGAACTGCTCTAGAAAAGCCCACACTCAGAGCTGACGTGCCGTGCAGGGTTCCAGAATCCAATGGAAGAACTGGCAGAATTCAAAAACGACATACACTGATCTGGACAATCATCAGCAGGAACCACAGACCTCAATCTGGAATTCATGCTTCAGTTATCAACAGGCAACTTCAGCGCTTCCTCTCGGGGGCAGTAGGAAGTTGATCAAAAGAGAGAGTGAGAACATAGGACTATGCCATCAAGCTTTTTCATCTGCAATTCTAGCTGTTCAACTGACAAATTTGACAGACAGAAACATGCCAATGAATGGGCTCATGTCTCCATTCAGTCAATCTCCTTGGCGAGAGCACAATGGCAATCAATGCTGCCCCACTGGCAGTCTACCCCCTCGGTAGTTGAGTCCACCCCCCTCATCCCACAGCTTCACGGCAAATATCAAAATGAGCCTAAAAAAGGAAAAAAAACAGCGGATTTGGACACTGCGTAATCAATGTTGCCCCACGAGCAGTTGATCTCCTCGATAGTTGAGCCCAACCTCCTCATCCCCCAGCTTCAATGCAAATATCAAAATAAGCTTAAGGCAAAAAAAAAAAAAAAACCGGATTTGGACATATCAATCTGAGTGCAAATAGGCCTCTCAATCCATTTTTTTTTTTTTTTGGGGGGGGGTGCGTTTTGGTCCTGCCCGGGTACCCCGGGCAAGTGGGACCTCGGGCGATTTGGCCCGGGTCGCCCGGCCGGGCAGGCCGGGCGGAGCGACTTAGGTGGCTTTGCAATCAGACTCACTTTCATTCACACTTTACATGCATGCAAACAGTAGCGCAGAAGACTGGCGACGTGCGCCCACTCAATACTCAGAGATATGGCAACCCAGATATGAGTTCAGTTCCAATGGCTATGGTGTCACAGCGCCCATACAACTCTCTGTTCGCATGCCCTGGATCACCCTGGATATCCCACGCACAACACTCTACTCACTCTCACACACTCACACACTGAACACCAACTACAGCTATGGCGGCTATGGCCGCCTCTACCCTATCGCTATGAGCTATGGCGGCTATGGCCGCCTCTACCCTATCGCTATGACTAAGCTTCGTCTCTCTGCCCACTTCGTCTTCGAGCTCACTGCAGACCTCCTTGCACAAGTCACTGTGGCAGCGCTTCCGCATGGCTCACGCAGGAACGAATGAATGGCTGGGCGCTGCCTCTTGATTTATACTTCTGCAGTGCGTTGGTCTGGCCCTTTTCCCAGGCCCGATGTGCACACAGTCCCATGCGGTACTTACTTGACTGGACCGGACTGCCTAGGACTGGGACTGCTGACTCAGCATGGGCAGACTCCACCACTTGCCTCGCCACTTGCCCACTTGCCTTAGCCTAAGCGTGGGACACTCCGAAGGCCACTACTCAGACCTTCCGGAAGGCCGTGGACTTGGCCTTTCGGTACTGTAGCAGCTACGACTTTGACCCTTCTGGACTGTAGCAGCTACAACCCTGACTCTTTGAGAAGGCTACAGCTACGACCTCTAGACCTGACTGGGACTCCTATCCGACAGGTCTACAGATCGAACCCATGCTAACTATGGACCCTACGACAACCTATCAACTGTTACAAGTACACAGGTCACGGGTTCAACTCTACGGGTCACAGGTAAGGTGGGGACTAGGGTTCGAGCCCTGGGATCTGCATCAGCTACTGCGATCTGGTGAATACCGTTTCACTCCCGCCGGCCTAAATTGGAGGTCCTCCGAGAATAACTCAGTCCAAGGCAGGACCTTTACCTTTCTGATCTCTCTCGTAGGCTCTAACTATATCGGGAGCTGTTTCTAGAAGTTCTGATCTCGTGAACCAGCGGTCATCCTCCGGTTCCTGATATGCAAACCGGACCTTATTCTGCTTCTGTGGACGACCTGTACCTCCTGTTCTGAACACATTTTCACCTACAATGCCGTCAATGTCATATCTTCCGTCCATGTCCGGAGGGATCACGGACCGTCTAGAGGGAAACTGCAGACTTGTGACACACGGCGGTAACTTTGATGCGTGAAATACGGGGTAGGTGTGGAGGTGTGCTGGGTTCTCTATAGTATAGGACGGTCCATCTTCTCCGCCCTTAACTTCTAGAACCGGCCATGGTCCTCTATATGCGGGCAGTAACTGCTGCGAGATGTTCTCCTCAGGTGCAAACTCCTTAGACTTGACCCAGACCAGGTCGCCTACCTGAAACTGCTATGGGCGACGGTGCTTATTAGCCTGTTCTATCATCCGGTGTTGGGCCTTCCTGAGGTTCTCAACAACAGTGACTATCTCTTTCTCATGTTGTATCGCGAACTCCCTGGTACCGGGCGGTAGCCTGTGAATCTGATCCCGGTTAAGTCCCTCAAACGGTCTACGTGGTCTAAAGGACTTGTGCAACTCGTTGGGAGGGCGACAGTTGGACAAGTGCACGCTGTTATTGTATGCGCTGGCTACCTTGGGTAGCATCTCGTCCCAGTTGATCTGATCGGGTCTAATGTACATGCGCAGAACTTGCTGCAGGATCTTGTTCATCTGCTCTGTCTGACCGTTAGTCTCGGGATGGCGGCCAGACGACATCAACAACTTTGACCCATAAACTTTCATAAGTTCCTGCCAGTTCTGGCTGGTGAAGAGAGTATCTCTATCGCTAACTATGGACAACGGGACTCCATGCTCACTAACCCAAAAATCAAAGAACTTCTGTATCACTAACTTTGTGCGTGCCTCTGCAGGCAAAGGAACAAAAATAACATACTTACTAAATCTATCAACTACTACCATGACTTGGCTCTTACCGTGTCTACTCTCGACACCGGCATCCATGAAGTCAATGGAGACTGAATCTCCAGGCTGGTTTGGAATGGGCAAGGGTCTGAGAAGACCTAGAGAGGCACACGTAGTAATCTTGTTCCTCTGACAGACTTTACAATTGCGGACATACTCTATGCAGTCATTTTTCATTCCTGGCCATGTGTATGCGTGCATAAGATTGGCTAAAGTCTTTTGCCAACCGAAATGTCCCTCTGTATCATGGCATTCCCCTAAGATGAGACTGAGAATCTCCTCGCTGTTGGGAACGCATAAGCGGTTTAGTACATTAGTTTTCTCAAACAATAACCCCTCTTTAGTGCGGTAGTCTGGCTCAGTCTCTGGGGCCTCCTTAACCTTCTTGAGGAGGTCACTATAGATAGGGTCATGCGCATACGCCTGTCTAACTTTCTCTTCGAGGTCACTCCCTATATCCAGATAGTGAACTATGGGTCCAAAGTAGTATGATCTCCTACTTAGAGCATCCGCAACTACATTGTACTTGCCCTTAACTGGCTTGAGCTCGAAGTCATATTGGTCTATCTCAGCGGCCCACCTAGTCAACTTAGGTGTCATCTTGGTCTGTGTCTTTAAACATCTAAGCGTTTCGTGGTCCCAGTACACTTTGAAGTGCCTCCCAAGCAGGTAATGCTTCCGGTGCTCTAAGGTCTGCCTAAGAGCATAGAATTCTCTCTCATACGTTGAGGTAGCAACCTTCTCTGAGGGCATCCTCGCTGACATGAACTCTACGGGTCTGTAGCCATTGTCGCCGTCTTGCTATAACACGGCGCCTATACCATACTGATGTGCGTCTGTAGTGACGACAAATGGCAAGGACAGATCTGCTACTTTGAGGACAGGATACTCTATTAACGCGCGCTTCAACTTCTTTAGCGCAGACGTACAGTCTTTATCCCATCGCCAGATCGCCTCTTTCTTGAGCAACCTGCGCAAGGGCAAAGCGAAATTCTCGAAATAGAATTGAAGTTGTTTTACCAGTCAATTCAGTTTTGAATCGATACAAAGTTCGAGTAATAGATCTAGGAATAAAACTACTTGTCTCATAAGCTATTGAATCAACATTAGTAAGAATGCCTAAATGAAAAGTTTGAGAGCGACAATAGTAG